GGGGGGGGGGGGGGGGGAGAAGGAAGGGGGGTATTATGAGAGTGGTCAAAGGAGGAGAATGAACTGAAATATGGTAGTGGCTCAGTTTTTCCATTGGTCAAAAATTATCAATCTTTCAGATATACAATTTGAGAAAAATATATAATACTTTTAAGTGGCATTTATGGTGTTTTTACTGCATAGAATTAAACTATAGGGCAGCCTAATTTTCAATGGGGATGTTCTAATATTAAGAAACTACAGGTATGACTTACAAAATACAATATCTGTAAAATTTACGTTCTCCTTGAGAAGATCGTGTCACTGTTGTAATCAAACTGTTAATCACAATGCTTACAGTGACAAAAAAAAAGAAAGTCAATATCTTTGCTCCTTTTGAACATGCATAAACGCAAAACATCAACATTTCAATAAATGATAATGACAAAAAAAATTCAATCAGCCTGATTTTTAAACAAACCTGCTTTCTCATATGTTGTTAATTATGTAAGAGAGTTAGTACTCCCCCCCAACCCCCCTCTTAACTGTGAGTCAAAACCCAGTTCACTAAAATAATCACTAGTGATTCATAATCATCTGAATCCATTTATACAGAACATGCACATTTTTTTCCCTTTGGAAACCTTAATTGTTGTCTTCAACAGAGGCTGTGGCTAATGCAACTTTAAAACGTTTCAATCTTTTAATTATGTAAAATCATGATAAAATTAAGACAACCAAGTATGAGTGACTGCATGATTTGTTGGGGGCAACAGAGCTCTAGATACAAACTGCTCAGTGTACTGTAAATTTAATGTGGGTATCTGATCTTATGCCAGGTCATGCAGTCATTGTACGCACTGGATGTACATGTACATGTAACTGTACATGTACTATATATAGCTAGTGCATGTAATTGTGCACGCATGCATGTGCACTTTACATGTATATTAAAGAAAGTTTATAACTTTATACCTTCACCCAACATGTATCCGCCTAGTGTTAAAATATCCAGTTTTAAGAAGTAATATGTTATTTATATATATTTACTTAAGTATATTCAAAGCATTACATTTAATGTTTATCCACCATGATGCATGAAAAATTTGCAAGCTCCCCCCCCCCCCTTTTTCGCCCTTGAATTTTGGCTCAGCAATAAAAAGAAAATCCACAAAAACGTACTCACCTTATCCTAGCATATCCTTAACTGCACTTCATCATTCCCTTTGTTATCCTCGATACTGTGCAAACATTTATCTGCGGCGATGACTTATCAACGAGTTGAACTCGTGACACTTCGCTGTCGCTGTTTACATGTGGCGGAGCGGAAGTGATAACCTATTACTGCGGTCACCGCTAGATGGCGATACTTACGGCANCCCAGTTCACTAAAATAATCACTAGTGATTCATAATCATCTGAATCCATTTATACAGAACATGCACATTTTTTTCCCTTTGGAAACCTTAATTGTTGTCTTCAACAGAGGCTGTGGCTAATGCAACTTTAAAACGTTTCAATCTTTTAATTATGTAAAATCATGATAAAATTAAGACAACCAAGTATGAGTGACTGCATGATTTGTTGGGGGCAACAGAGCTCTAGATACAAACTGCTCAGTGTACTGTAAATTTAATGTGGGTATCTGATCTTATGCCAGGTCATGCAGTCATTGTACGCACTGGATGTACATGTACATGTAACTGTACATGTACTATATATAGCTAGTGCATGTAATTGTGCACGCATGCATGTGCACTTTACATGTATATTAAAGAAAGTTTATAACTTTATACCTTCACCCAACATGTATCCGCCTAGTGTTAAAATATCCAGTTTTAAGAAGTAATATGTTATTTATATATATTTACTTAAGTATATTCAAAGCATTACATTTAATGTTTATCCACCATGATGCATGAAAAATTTGCAAGCTCCCCCCCCCCCCTTTTTCGCCCTTGAATTTTGGCTCAGCAATAAAAAGAAAATCCACAAAAACGTACTCACCTTATCCTAGCATATCCTTAACTGCACTTCATCATTCCCTTTGTTATCCTCGATACTGTGCAAACATTTATCTGCGGCGATGACTTATCAACGAGTTGAACTCGTGACACTTCGCTGTCGCTGTTTACATGTGGCGGAGCGGAAGTGATAACCTATTACTGCGGTCACCGCTAGATGGCGATACTTACGGCACAGTTGCACAGCAAAAAGCTGCACCGAAATGTTTACTGTGTTAGTACTGATTCTCAATATATAGGTCAATTTCACATTTTTTATTATATATAAGGTAGTTGTCTTCAAACGAGTTGTAAAAATTATTCACACGATACATACGTTACTGATACAAACGTTAGATTACTGATACAAGTGTAGATTTTTTGTTTTCAGTGCCTGTCCGTTGCAACACTTGTAAGTGCGTGCGATGTCGTACATGTATGGGTACTTTTGTAGTATACCCCCCCACCCTGTAACTTCCTGAAACTTTCATTTTTCAAACATTTTTTTACTTTGTCTTTTTCACCTATGTCAAATTAAAGCTGTTGAAATAAAATGTTTTTGTAATTACCTGTGGTCTTTTTAGGGGCCTATTAGTTTTAATCACGTTTAATCCACCCCATTGAAATACAATGTGAAAATTTACCACCCCATTGAAATACAATGTGAAAATTTACAATGTACCTGCAGTCAATAACTTGCCGCGTTTTCGATGGCCTACTCTACCTTATATTTTATGTGAACATAGGATTGATACATTGTATACTTGGACTTCCTCTGTGAAATTATTATGAGCTACTTGTCCACATAAAATCACCTTAGAGTTAGCCAACGAAAACGCGGCAAGTTATTGACTGCGGTTGTAAATTGAAGATTCTAACATTGTATTTCAATGAGCTGGATTAAACGTGATTAAAACTAACAAAAAGTCCACAGGTAATTACAAAAGCATTTTATTTCAACAGCTTTGACATTGATGAACAAGAAAATGTAAAAAAACTGTTTGAAAAGTGAAAGTTACAGAAAGTTACAGGGTGGGGGGTATACTACAAAAGTACCCATGTATGCGCAAACGTAACTTAAGAATTTGCTTTATTATTATTTTTTTTTATTCCCTGAAGTAGGCAGCAAGCAGAACGCAAGTATACATTGTACCAAATACGTTACCGATAAGTTAACAAATTGCGTGTAGACTGCTGTTGTTGTTTTCCTTGTTTTATTTGTTGTCTGTCGGCGCAACTATGTGAGTAGGCATACAGGCGACGTCATACATGCGCGCACGTATGTTTGTACGTCGCACATTTTGTTGCACTTCCATCCAGAGTTTGATATCCCTCGATACATACGCTACCCATATTTTTTAATAACGGTCAGTTGCGTACAACTTCCAGTGAGCAAACATTTCTAATTTTTACTGTACTGTAGGCCTACATGCAGTCACAATATAGAAACGGGACATAAGAGGAAAGTTTTTTTTTTTTTTTATTTTTTTCAAACTTATAGTGAAAATCATTCACATGACACATGCGTTATGTGTACAGATACATACTGTACGTTACCAAGTTGCCTGTGGATTGTTGTTGTTGTTTTCGTTGTTTGTTGTCCGCCGGGGCAAAGTGATTGCTTGCGACATCATGCATGTGCCCACGTCTGTTTCTACGTAACACATTCTTCTCTGTTACATTTCCATACAGAGATTGATAGGCCTATAGTTCGAGTTCGAGTTCGAGTTGATTCATAGGCCTACGTACGTTACCTATATTTTTAATAACTCTCGAGCAGCTGCTTAGGCCTAGGTCTTCTAGTGAACCAACACCTAATTTTTACTGTATAGGGGGCCTATTGTTGAATTTTGAATCTCGTATGGAGATCCAGTTGTACGTTATTTCTCTTTAAGTCTGAAAATTGTTCTAAATTTTAAATCATGTATTTGATCTCATGCAGTTACGATAAATTCATAGAATCCACATAAATGAATAAAGTTTAAGTTTAAAACAAATTCAAGACTTGTCTTGTAATGACATAGCCTACGTCAAATGGTTCAGTGCAACGGGCTCTCTTCCAATGTCGACACGTGAATCTAACGAAGTCACGTTGTGAGAAAAAACATCTGTGATCTCCATCTAGGGCTTATCAGATTAGGTTATTTAGCCCATCCCCGTTGAATGTTGCGTAGAATTTGGCACACTATACACAGTGCCTAGTCAGTTAAAATAAAATGGGGCTCGGGGCAGCTAGCAGATTTGTCCTGGTTTGTGTAAGCATCTCAATAGCGGCAGTGGTGGCGGCGTCAAGTGGCAGCACAGGATGTAGCTTCGACAGCGGTGAATGCCGCTACAACGTGTTGTTGTCACATGAACAAGGGAAGTGCTAGAATTCAAGTGACAGCGTGGTCCAGGAGACACGCGACCTTATCTCAAGCCTCACCGCCCATCTACAGAACATCTACACGTCTATTGGCAACAAAGGTGAGGTTTTATGTTTTGATATGTTATCCAAAATATGAAATATTATTTGCAAAATGAACGTGTGTCCTCTCGAAAAACAGGCGTATGCTATAAAACCAGGAATCAACATAAGTACCGGGGTATACTGTAAGAGTTATATACAGTGCATTAAAATCGATTGGTACATTGTTTGTCAAATGCCAGACTTTGGTTCCAAACCCTTTAAACAAGCACTCTAGAAAACTCATTGTAAAACTATAGGCCTACTTATCTTTCTTTTCATATTTCATCGTATTGTTATTATTATTAATATTATTATTATTGTTGTTGTTGTTGTTATTTATTCATTTTTATATTTTGTTATTGCATTTGCGTTCTTTATTTCAGATGCCAGTAGTGCTGGGTCCGGGTGTTGCAGTGACGTTCTGGGCACCTTGAGCGTTCTGCAATTGAAAGTCGATGAACTGGACAAGCAACAGAGAGAGGTGTTTAGAAATAAGCTCGACGCTCAGGAACTTCTGATAACCGAGCTGAGAAACCAACAAGCTAACACTGCTAAACTTGTGAAGAATCTGTCTTCCCAACTTGCAATCCTGCAGGCTCAGTGGCGTAAATGTTTGTCCGCTTCATTGCGTTGCTCCTTAGCGAACGTCGTATCTTTAGTTTGCTTGCTCTGCTGTTCATTTATTGCCATCTTTGGTTTTAGTGATAGTTAGATCTGATTGGAAAATAATTTACTATATAAGCCGCCGGTTAATATTTTGTTATATTTCGATCATTTCATCTTCGACACAGACAAAGGTAAAACTTAAACAGTTGATTTTGTTCATTAATTTGGCGAGCAAAGTAACGTGAAGTCATAACTTTTGCTTTTCAACAATTTATGATTATTTTAATTGCTTGATTGAGGTACATTTAATGCTTTTCAGAACTTGCTAAATCAACAACCTATACACCTACAACCACCACATCTACGCCAAGCACATCTACCACAATTACGCCAAGCACAACTACCACAACTACTCCAAGCACAACTACCACAATGTCAACAACAACAACCAGCACTGCACCACCTACAACTGCTGGATGTCCGGGTGGATTTGTGCGGAAGGGGGCGTCTTGCTACTACTTCACACAAGCAGATAAAGCTAAATCAAGCCTCTCCTGGCAAGACAGTAGGGCCACATGTCAGAGAATGGGCGCAGATCTAGTATCGATTGATTCCAGTGATGAATATCAGTTTCTGAAGTCACAGTGTATGAGGGGTAGGTCATAGTGGTGTGTTGAAATTCTGTTAAAAAAGCAAAGAGATCACTGCACAAGTTTTCAGTCTAATGTAATGTAAGAAAATCAATGTTGTTTTCGTGGTAGAGGTCGGGATATTTGTTATTAATGAAAGGTACGGAGAAAAGTAAGCATTTATACGAAAATCCCTCCCCGTCGAAGAGATTACACGTAAAACCTGCATATGATGTTGGCATTCGGTTTGAAATATTTTTTCCACTGAAATAAACGTGCAGCAATGCTTAATGAAATTTTATCGCATTCTGTTGTAAACATTTTGAGAATTTAAACGTTATATCTATTTTTATATCTATTCGATATTAGTGTCCAGAGTAGTGGGATGGTGGACAGGTGGAAATGACCTTGACACTGAAGGGAGATGGGAATGGATCTCAAACAAAAAGCAATTAGGATATACAATGTGGTATCCAGGTAAACTTCTGTCCTCTCTCTCTCTCTCATTTTCTCTCTCTCTCTCTCTCCGGTTGTTGTGTGACCAGAAAAAGTTCAGATTGGGCCTCAAGCTTTAGACAATCGTGTTCCGGTAGGAGATCTTAACTACTACCAAGTGCCAATAAATTTTAATTCATTCATTTCCAGTCGTCCCAGTGTCTTAGTTTGCAAAATGATCAATGTCGTGGGGTTACTTCTACAAAGTAATAAAAAAGAGTACAGTTTGAGGTTATACGTACTCGTGCATCAGATGGGTTCTGAAATAATTAAGAATTTGTGATGCCAGTGCTGATTGCC